AGCTAAAGAAGACTAAGTCAGAGATGTTTTCCAGTTTTGGGCCCCCAAACCAGGAAAATTCCAGCATGGGAATGACATGGTAGAGACTCCCGTTTCATCAGAACAAAGGACTCAAGAGGTTGCTTTGAACCATCCCCATTCCTGAGGTTCCAAGAACCCTGAGGTCCACCCCTGGGGTCCCCAGCCTGGCTTCTCTGGGTTCCTCATGCAAGAGATATCAATTATTGTAGGTCCCTGAGTAAAAGAAACTGCTCACAGCCCTCGAGATAGACAGAAAGTTACTGTTTCCCTCTTGTTCCAGGTCCTGAGAGATCTGGATGAACCACAGTCCCTATCTATGGACTCTCCTCAGAATCCTGTATCTTTAGATTCACTGAAATTTCTCTTGAGATAACTTGTGTTGATGAATGGGCTGAGAGCCGCTTTAACTTAGTGAAGTGCTTTTGTATCTAAACTACCAGAGAGAGCCCCTCATGGTTGGTAAGTGTTGATGAATATTTGCTGAATGGGTACACCAAAGAACCACCAAATGGATGAGCGAGCTAGGCACTGAGAAATGACTGTCAGGCACTGAGAAACGAATTCCTTGCTGATGAAAATTGGGGCATGAATATGGGAGGTGATCTCTCTCAATTCTCGGCTGAGGGGCAGAGTGGTGGCAAGGGGGTTCGGTTAGAGAGAGGAGTTCTGAAAAGATTGTCAGGTGCTGGATCAGGGAAGAACAAGCCCTGCCGATCCAGGAGCCTGGGGAGGACCTTCATGTCCTGCAAGGTGGGCAGAGAGAAGAGAGAATCAGCAAGGCTCTTTAAAGGGGCTGGCACATAGGCAGGGGAGAAGAATGGGGTCTTGGGTGGCATGGAAAACTCTCTAAGAAGGATCTAGTGATTGAGAAATGTAGAGGGAAGGAAGCACCATAGAAGGAACCAAAAGGAGAAACCTGAAAGGGGAATGGAAGAATTTGAGCTTGTCCTGAAGGTTGCTATTGAGGTGCCCTGACTGAGGGGCAATCATCACATGCTGGAACTACCCCTGTAAAGTTCAGACCTGCATCTTCTACAGCTTTACAGCCGAAGATGACAAACTTATGTGCAGTGTACCCAAAGGGGGATTTCATCTCAGAGGAGACTATGACTCTAACCCTTTCCTCAGACAGAATTATCTAAAGGCTGCCTGTCAGATTTCTCATTTTTGTCTTGGCTATGAGAAAATTCAGACAAATTTCATGCTTGGTTACGGTAATTCTCTCAGTACAGTTGGTGGTAGATGTATGTCTTTCTTCCTTCTAAACAGCTTCTGGTCTTTTTTCCCTTTGCCATAAGCCACAGTTTCACATATGTTTCTATATTTTAAGTTGCCTCCCATTCCTTTGGCAAGCAGTCTGGATTTGAACTGAAAACAGTGAACTGCTCCACTCTACATCATTAAAATAGTCCTTTCATTGGCTGCAAGTGTAGTGCCTAGAGAAAAGGCTCATGGGATTGACAGTTCAGTGATGTTAAGACAGTCTAGTTGTGCTAGAGGCTGAGGACACAGGTCCTGCCACCCTCACCCAGCCTTCAGCACGTCCCAGCCAGACCCCCACAACTACCTGCTTATCCTGCAGAAGAAGCACACCTCAGGGAGAGCAGCTGCCCAACATTCAGTTCTCAGTGTCCAGCCCACTTATCCATTTGGTAGTTCTTTGGTGTACCCATTCAGCAAATGTTCATCAACACTTACCAAGCATGAGGGGCTCTCCTTGGTAGTTCAGATACAAAGAAAAACAAGATGGAAAAATAATTTTAACAAAAGTATTTCATTAAGTTAAAGTGGCTCTTGGCCCATTCATGAAATATTTCCAGTCTCTTTTTGTGAATGTTGTTGTAAGCTACCGTCAAGTTGGCCCCCAACTCACGGAAACGGTATGCACAACAGAAGGAAATGTTGTCTGGTCCTTCACCATCCCCTATAATCAGTTGCGGATTGGACTGTTGTGATCCATAGAGCTCTTCCCCCACTCCCCAAATTATCCCACCATCATTAACATAAACTCACTCCCTCTAAGCAAAAACTCCCCTTTTTTCCTTCCCTGGTAACCACTAATAATTTTTGGTTTCTATATATTTGCTTATTTCATGTAAGTGAGATCATACAGTATGTGTTCTTTTGCCACTGACTGATTTCTCTCAGCATGATGTTTTCAAGGTTCATCCATGCTGTGGTATGCATCAGGACTTCATTTCTCTTTATGGCTGAGTAGTATTCCATTGTGTACGTACTACACTTTGTTTAACCATCTGTTGATGGACATTTCAGTTGTTTCCACATTTTGACTATTGTGAAAAGTGCTGCAGTGAACCTTGTTGTACATGTTTCTGTTTGCATTCCTGCTTTCACTTCTTCTGGTTATATACCTAGGATTGAGTTTGCTGGGTCATATGGTAGTACTATGTTCAACTTTTGAGAAACCACCACTTTCCACAGTGGCTGTACTATTTTATATTCCCACCAGCAATGGATGAGGGTTCCAGTTTCTCTACAACCTATCCAATACCTATTGTTTTCCGTGCTTTTGTTTTTTATCATTGTCATTGTAATGGGTGTAAGATGGTATCTGATTGTGGTTTTGATTTGCATCTCTTTAATGGCTAATGAGGAGCCCTGGTGGTGCAGTGATTAAGTGCTCAGGTCTGCAGTTTGAACCCCCCAGCAGCTCTGTGGGAAAAAAGATGTTGTCAGTCTGCTTCCATAAAGATTTACAGCCTTGAAAACCCTACTCTGTCCTATAGGGTTGCTATGAGTCAGAATCAATTCAACAACAATAGGTTTGGTTTTTTTGGTTTTTAATGACCAATGATATTGAGCATCTCTTCAGGTACTTGTTGGCCATTTGTAGATCTTATTTGGTGAAATGTCTGCTTAAGTCCTTTGCCCATTTTTGGATTGGTGTATTTGTCTTTTTGTTGTTAAGTTGTAGAAGTATTTTATATATTTTGGGTATTACACCCTTATCAGATGTATGGTTCCCCCAAATTTTCTCCTGGTCTATAGGTTGTGTTCCCACTTTTTTGATATAATCTTTTGATGAACAATTGTAAGGTTTTTACTGGCTGATTTTCAGAAGTAGATCACCAGGTCTTTCTTCCTAGTCTGTCTTAGTCTGGAAGCTCCACTGAAACCTATTCAACACCACACCAAAGAAAAAAAAACTCACTGCCTTCAAGTCAATTCCAACTCATCGCGACCCTATAGAACAGAGTAGAACTGCCCCATAGGGAGTGTCTGGATCTTTTGGTTAGCAGCTGAGCTCTTAACCACTGCACCGCCAGGGCTCCATGTTCAACATCAAAACAACATGCAGACCTCCACTGACAGATGGGTGGTGACTATGCATGAGGTGCACTGGCCTGGAGTAAAACCCAGGTGTCCAGTGTGTAATGCAAGAATTTTACCACTGAACCACCAATGCCCCCCTGTGAATGGCAACTGGTCCGTCATTCTCTTCCCCTAGTTTGCTGCACTGGCTGTGTGTCACCTCAACCCCACCCTGAGGTTCCTGAGAAATATGTGTGGCCATGACAGTGTTGTGACCAAGACGGCACCAGAAACTGCTTAGAAGGGGGTTCCATTTGCTCACTGGCTGGTGCTGCATGATTGGCCCCACAGGATGTGAGGCTCACCTTTGCAGAGTTTTTTCCTCTCGTCTCTACTGATAACAGAACTGTTGAACTTATAGTGGGATGAAGATGTTACAGTAAAGGGAGAGGATGCTGAGACAGGTGATGTCCTGTGGGGAGGAGCTTAGCCTGCATGACTGTCTACTTCCTCCCTTGATGCTGGCAGGCACCATGGTATCTAGCCAGTCTCCAAAATTATGCAGGAAGGAAAGGCTGCTTTTTGTCCTTGTCATGGGCAATTTTGTGTGTCAACATGGTTAAGCTACGGTGTCCAGTTGTTTGGCCAAACATTTGTCTAGATGTTGCTATGAGGTTATTTACATGTGATTAGCATTTAAATCAGTTGACCTTAAGTAAAGCAGATTACCCACCACCCCCCTTCCCCCTAATGTGGGTGGGCCTTATCCAATCAGTTGAAGGCCTTAAGGTGTTTCCCCAGGGAGGACTCTGCCTCCAGACTATAAACAGACATTCTGCCAGAATTCCCCTCTCTCTCCCACCACCTGACCTACCATACCAATTTCAGGCACAAGAAAGCCAGAGTTTCCCACCTGTTACCTCACCTACAGATTTTGGACTTGCCCACTCCCACAATTGCATGAGCCAATTCCTTAAAAAAAATAATATATATATATGCATATACATATATATGTATATATATATATATATGCATATACATATATATGTATATATATATATCATATTCGTTCTGTTTCATAGAGAATCCTGACTATGACAGGATTCCTCAAGGTCAACTGGGACTAGTCTTTTTTCCTGGGACTAGTCATTGTTACTCAGGCGAGACATTGTTGGGTGTTGTAATCAAGTGATAAGAGGTTTTCTGAGGCAGCTTGTGAACAGCTGAAAACAATACCTATGTGATGGAGAGCACTGAGCTAGCCCTGGGAAGGTGCTTAGGGCAGGAGACTTTGGCATCAGTAGTGGCAACACTTGGAGACAAAGGAATTGAATCTTGGAAACTGAGCTCTAGTGCCCACGCTGACACAGATAAGGACCACAGTGGGTCCCTCTGTGGGCTGCAGTGTCCTCATTGTACAGGGAGAGGGTTTGACGTGACGCTTTCCATGGTTGACTCTGATTCAGTGCTGTACTTCTGAGTGGGAGTGGAAGATGTCCTTTGCCAGGGACTGGACCAGAAACTCTCATGTCCCACTGTTAGCCTGTTCTCACTTCCTCATCCCACCATCAAATCCATCCCCTGCCTTTTCCTCTCATCCCCGCAAAGGAATGACCCAACACTGAGTATGGGAAAACTGGCTTTGAATTACCTTCCATAGCTGCAGAGAGCTCAGCAGGGAGCCTAGCAGATGAGGGATGTTCCCCTCAGGCTGGGAACTCACAGACCACTAGGAAGGAGGAGGAGCAAGAGATGTCATTCCAGAGCCCATCTGTCAACAGGGTCACACAGTCCTCCCCTGAGCCATGGTCATTAGGCTCATCTTTCTTCCAGTTGCTGTAGGCCAGTCTTCCTCCTGTCACATACATGAACTGACCTTCGATCACCTCGTCTGTGATGCCAAGGAAGGCAGTGTCCTTGGCTACATCCTGAATGGCCTTGTTTTCCTCTTCATTCTTAGGGGTGGCCACAGTGGCCTGGAGCCGGGCGCACAGAGCCTTCACTTTGGAAAAGGGCATCTTTTCACCGTTGGTCACATAGAGCTTCTTCCCAGACTTTTTGCCCAAAGAGAAGGTTTGCACTGAAATCACAGTTGGGGGGTGACATTGACTAGGGTTGGAGCCCAGCCCAGGAGAGTGGGTGAAAAATTCTTTCTCTGGACAGAGCCCCTCTGGAGAGACATTCTGACACCAAGGCTAAGGTCAGCTTGAGTCAGAACTCTGAAAAATAGTCCCCATTCCCAACCAGGTCAGGTCAGAGCCAGTAAGGAAATAGGCCTTAGTCATAGGGCCAAGGAGAATACCCAGCCCTTGGCAGACAGCCTGGACTCTCCTGGGATATTCCACCCTGGAGACAAGCATCTGTTAAAACCCACCCCTGCACAGGTAGACACAGGAAGACATGCTAGGGTCTCACCACCAGGCCTGGGCACCAGATTAGAAAGAGGATTGGACAGTGATCTGAGAAAAATGGATGCTGAGGAAGGAGTCAAGACTCTGGAGATGATAGACCTCCATCCAGTCCTTCTTCTGCTACTTCTTGGCTGTGTGACCTTGAATGAGTTACCTACCTACACCTCCTGGGCCTCTTTCCTCACTTGTAAACAAAATGGTGGACATTCACAGATAGGGTTGGTGAGAGGATTGAATGGAACCATATTATGAGGAAATGCTGACCTACCATAGGCCCTGGTATATAATAAGTGTTCAGAAGTGTTAGTTCTCTTCCACCCTCCCAAAAACCTGGAGCACCCTGAAGAAAGAGGTGAGAACCAAGAAGACATCAGGGGTGTAGGAAAATCTTACGCTTTTTGGTGTGGTACAGTTCTGATTTCAGGCTCCTTATCTCTCTCTCTAAGTCTGCCAGCTTGTTCTCAGCAACTACAAAGCAACAGGGAGAAGGGTACTTATTGAGGAGGAGACCCTAAATTGGAGACTAGAGTATTTTGCTATTTGTTTATTTATGCTTACCAAAAAGTATGGTTATTCAAGAAAAAAAAAGAATCTACAAAGCAAAAGGAAAGAAAATAACTATATTCCTGTATTCTTAGCAACGTTTAATAACTTGAAAACTATAGTTCTGGACCCTTTTCTTCACATACTGCTTAAATACTGCAAAATTATAATAATTTATAAAGAAAGACCTAGCTCATTATTCTCCTTTTTGAAAATTTTTCTTTGCAGTTGTCCTTCATGTCTCATTCCAGGTAAACTTCTTTTTTTTAACATACTTTGTTATGAGACCCCAACCACTCACCCCATTCTGTGACAGCACACTCCTCCCCTCCGCCCCCGATTCCCCATGAACATTCAACCAGCTCCTAACTCTCTCTGCCTTCTCCTCTCACCTCTGGACAGAAGCCGCCCCTTTGGTCTCTTGTATCTACTTGTCTAAGAGGCACATTCTTCACAAGTATCACTTTATGTCCCACAGTCCATCCAGTCCAATCCTTGCCTGAAGAGTTGACCTCGGAAATTGTTTTAGTTTTGGGGTGATGGAGAGATGAGGGGCCATGCTTTCTGGGGCACCTCCAGTCTTAGACCATTAAGTCTGGTCTTCTTACTAGAATTCGAGTTCTGCATCCCATCGTTCTACTGCTCCATCAGGGACCCTCTGTTGTGTTCCCTGTCAAGATGTCCATTGGTAGTAGCCGGGCACCATCTAGTTCTTCTGGTCTCAGGCTGATGAAGTCTCTGGTTTATGTGGCCCATTCTGTCTCTTAGGCCAATACTTTCCTTGTGTCTTTGGTGTTCTTCGTTCTTCTTTACTCAAGTGGTTGGGACCAATTGATGCATCTTAGATGGCTG